ATCCAGCCCCATGTCTACATGGAGTTTGTGACTAATGATGTGGAGTGCAGTTAATGTTCAGTTCTTATCAGAACTGGTTTCTGTGGACAAGCTTTTGTGACTAGGTTTTCCTCCACTGTTAGTTGAAGCTGACAGACACAGACAATTCACTTTGCAGCCGACAGTGCGCACACAGTTAGGGTTACACATATTGGCCTTCAAAACCATCTGATATGAATCCCAACCAAACACCTGGGGGTGGAGGCATTATGTTCTGCAGCAACAACCCACATGACAGACCATTATAAAGATGTTGCAGGCATTACAGCATCATAGGATAGCTCTCCCATAAACATTTGTGAGACATCTGTGTCATTTAATGTCTTTTAAACTTCAGAAAAGTGCCAGGGCACAAGTCAGTCCCACCTGTTACTTGATGACATTTACTAGTTCCCAGCCATTGAACTGCGGTTGTTTCCTCTGTGTGTTCCATTGATAAATTCAAACAAACGATGTACTGTATTTGCCACATGAACTTTCATGGTGTCATAAAATGGTTTCACTTACAGAACTCACACTTTTTATTGCCTCTCCGTATATGTTTATAGATACAGTTAGTAGTGGGAATCAAGTAAAAAACATATATTTTTAGCCAATCACAGTTAGAACATTTTATAAAAAGACAAAATACTCAAAAACTGCTCCTGTTGCAGTCTTTTTGGGTTGAAGTCATAGAAGTTATCCAAGGATAAAAGTATACTTATGACACAGGTGTTGTTAAAAAGAAATATAATCAGGCCTCATAATCACAACTAGTGTACTTTTTTAAAATGATCATTATGCTTTATCATCTCTTTTTCAGAAATAAACTAATTTTGCAATGGGCCAAACATTTTCTAAACATTGCTTTACAACAATGTCTGCTTTGCCCTGTTTACTGAATTTGTCTGGAACCCTTGGACATTTATTTCTTTCCAGTTATCAGTGACCCAGAGCGACATGGTGGTGTGGCAGTGCAGAACTCCTGAGTTCCATGTTTGCTTGTGGACTGGAGTCACTCCCAGTTTATAGTACTGCTCCAAATTCTTGGTGATACTTTTTTATCATGAGTGATAGGTGTTTGTTTTTTTAGAAAATCTTTTTGAAAGCAGCATTTAAGCTACCTTAAAAACTGTAAAAACCTCCACACTAACTGCGTGCCATAAGAGCTCTACAGGAGATCTTGTTTGTTCTTTGTTTTTTTTTCCACATCCTCCCTTCCGTGAATAGCCAGAACATTGGCATACACATCGAACGTGAGCCAATGTAGGAAGGGCTGTATCCACACAGGACACATCACTCCACTGAGGAAGGCCTGAGAAGTTTCAGCTGTTTTCTGTTGCACTGGACATGGTAATTAAGTATTATTTTTAAGTTTAAAATCAGATCTTAACCATAAACCTCCCAATTATCCTTAAATAACATAGTATTATGCTCTTTTCTCTTTGTGCCATATCTACAGAACACTGACTGCCACCTAATAGTTGTGCCAGAGCTATTTTAAGGTTACTTTCCTACTGTATATCAGCTCTACAGTCAGTTCAGTGAATCCGCAGAGGACAGAAGATTCTAGGTAGACATGTATATTATCCCTGTTTTCATAAGATAACAAAAAGGAAGGAATGTGATACTTTGAGTATTTTATCTCAGTGTTGGCAATAACAGCTTATGAAGTTGTATATGCAGTTATAAGTAAATAATACAAAAAAAATTTAAGTCTTGGTTGTTTTAATGATTTTTAGGATTGCTTTGCTATGAATACATTTTCTCTTTCTTTTTACATCTCTTTCTTGCACATGACAGTGTGGAAATTCACATTGGAGTTACTGTGTGACACATAAAAGTACAGCAGCCTGAATGAATGGTCTGTCTGCCACAGGGGTGGTAGCACGAGATTTTTGATATGACCAGTCACTATCCTAGTAATTACTCAATGTGCCATTACAGTTACAATTAGAACACTAATTGAAGAATCTGCTTTGTTGTATTTTATTAAAACATGGCACTGCTGCTTAGTGCACTACTCAAATAAGCAATTAAAATGTCACATGCCCTTTCAGAAATCATACAAAGTACATACAAAAACAAAAAAGCACTACAGTAATTGCAATTTTTAACTGGTGACAGCCTCATTCATCCATGTTCTTACACTATAGATCCTAACAGATGAACCTATAGAACCTTCTGCTGCAAAAAAAGGGAAACAATAAAAAAGCCAACGTTATCTTAAAAGTACAAAATTGAAAGGGTTGCTACCTTAATGCTGTACCATGCATTTCTATGAGATTACTGTGTATAATTTGGTATCACATTTCTTAAAATAAATTGCTGTTCTGGAATACCGCTCAGTCTAGGGAAAAGCAACCAGATACATTGCTGGACGTTCTACACTGAAAGATTAATAGAACTGAATCCTTTTGATCTTCAATGAAGAAGACTGGAAAGGGTCCTGATTCAAGTAGCCAAATTCTTGAAATCGTTCCTGACACAGAACGAACAGTGCAGCAGGAACCAGGGGGCATGCATGGAAACTAACAAGAAGGGCATTTAAAATATAAAACAGGAGGTACCTGTTGTAATGGCCTCCTCATGTTCTTATGCTTTAGTAATGTGGATATGTATCATTATAAAAAGTTTATAATTATTTCTACTAATAGGGAAGAAGCAAAAACACCCAAAACTATAATTGTGCATCACTGAATTATAGTGATGGAATAAGGAAGGTGACACATTTGATAAAACATCATTCCAAATCTCCAAACTGCAATCTGAACACTAAGAATGATTTACCCTCAATACTTCCTAGAAAAATACACGTAATAAAGTAAAATCTCACATCTGCCTCCTAGATCTGATGTGCTACAACAAATTACTCTGAACTTTCTGTGATACTGTATAAGGTACTTTCCATCATTGCCTGTTTGTTTTTTCCTGTTATATTTTTCATGTAAAGAACATTGATTTTAGATGATTATGCTTTAGAAAACTCCATTAAAACAAGAGAGAAACATTTATCTTTCTGAGAGCAGAATGAAAGACTCACAAAGTCTTCTGATTTTTAATAGTGCGATTTGTCAAATGATGTCACCCTAATATGTTGGCTAAATTTGAATTTATATCTTATCTGACAGGATCTGTTTCACATTGGTTAAAAGGATACTTACTATGAATTAAACACAATGTGCCATGTTTTTCCTTTACAAAATCTCAGTCAATTACACCACTATCTCTAACCCTATAAGTCTATAGTAGTAGGGTGAGTCAGGCTAATGGCCAGATAACCTCCAAAATCAACTGAAGGTGACATGTCTGTTTGGAAGCTTTTATAACAAATGAATTTTCCTGGTCCCTGTGATGGACTGGCATCCTGGCCATTGTTTATCCTGCTTGCCAGGACCCTATACTAGTTGACTAGTTTACTTTGCTCACTTCCCTATAAGTATACACATTCAAAAAACTGTCAAATTAGGAAAGATCTTTATTTATTTTTTTATTTCTCTTTCTTTTTCTTTCACAGGCCAATATAATATATGGTTTTGATTCAAATTGGTCTGTATATTGGAAAATATTATTACAGGTAAAACTGTTTTTGTTTCTATTATGCCCTACAGCTTATTTCTTATAAATTATTCAACACAGTGGCTTTAATATGTTGTTACAATTGTTGTAAGAGTACATGACACACTTGGTTAATCATACTAAGGTCACAGAGGAAATACAATCTTGTCTAAACTTCATGTGTTATAGATCTTATTTCTCTGTCTCACATTGAGTATTCCAAACTGAGTTGCAAATTTGTAAAGAATGAAAACTTTAACTGCAGTTGTACACATCTTCCTGACCACTCGTATTTCATTAAATACACTTTGACCCATTTTGTGTTAAAGTAGGTTGTGTTATATTTAATTTTTTTTTTAGTTGGGTAAGCCAAGATGAAAAACTCCCATTAGCTGAACTAGCAGGAAGCTCCTAGTAATATTTTAGTCACAGTTTTCTGATTTTTCAACTGAAGTTTTAAAATCCAGCATAAGTATCTCATGCCCTTTCTATGTTGAAATACAGTGTCACCAGACAGTATAAGCCAGAGAAAGTTTACATTTTAGTACAATCAAGTTCTTTTAGATTCTTTTATCTGAAAGATCCAAACACAATTAATTTTGGTTTTACTTGACAACTATTGAATACAAATTCAACAGACAGAAGGAAATTTAACAACAGTTCCTAATATTAGATTAGAACTCTATAAAAACTTCAAGTGATAAAAAATATTATAAAAATATTATTTAAGCTTTGAAAAGTTGCTTTGTACTTTACAGGTATGGGTGGCCTTTGTGTTTTTAGGTGTCGTGCACAAGTTTAAATTCTTACCTTGCTAAGACTTTCATGTGTTGACCTATTAATTCAAAGATTTTTCCTGGAGGTGAAAGATGGAATTCAAAAGACATGTTGGATGATTAACTGGAGTGTATGAAACCAACAAAGCACTTTACCCTATAGCTAAAGCCACTATGTTCTACATCAATGTATGCTGTATGTATTTTCATGAATGTTTTATACAGTAGCGTAACAGACAGCTATTATTCACATCCTCAGGTTTGTATTATACTGAAGTGCAAAAAGTGCTTTTGTCTCCCATTAACAGCAAAATTGAAAAGAAAAACAGACAGAAAACCATTTCTCTTAACTCCTGTGCATTTCAAAGATCCTATAAGAACATAACAACCATATAAGAACTGAAACGAAACATTTTTTTTCACTTTTGTTTAGAAAGATCTTCCAAAAGAAGAAAGTCTGGGCATAATTAACATATACAAATGTCTGATGGGTATAGATTTCTTGTAGTTTATTATAATAATCTGATTTTAAGGTTTAAGATTAAATGGCCAATAAGGTAGCAAGTATGATCAGAACAGAGCATATGTTTTAATTACAAAATAAGCTATTATGTTTTACTTACACTTTTTGCAAGTTGTTTTACTTACGTTTTTAGGTGTTGAACTTGGATTCATGGCAGTGGTATTCTCAAACATCATTTTCAGGCTGTCTAGTGGGATGTCAAATCTCTCTATCTTCCTCGCAGCTTGCAGGTCTTCTTTGACAACTTCATTGTTGACTTTGTCCGGCTGTGGACTGAAGTGGGATAAGGATGTGGGTTCTACGACCACAGCCTCATTTGCCCTTGTTCCGTTTCCTGATTCAGTTTCCATCGTTGCAGAAACAGTATCCCCCTGCTCTAGGTACTGAAACTGGAAGTCAATTGTGACTAGAGGGAGAGAGGGAAAGAGAGAGAGAGAAATCACCAGTTGATAGGGTAACACTTTCTATGATGTCAGTATGACTGTTAAAAGTTATAGCGTGCGCAATCGGAAGACAAAAATACAGACTGGTTGGAGCTGAATGAAAGTCTAATAATAATTAAAAACAACATTAAGTGCACATTAGTAGCTTCAGCATTCTGGTAATGTACTGTAAACAGATGTAGCTACTTTCAGACTTTTGAAAACTTGACTTTTTCAAGTGAAACCTTGAATGCCTACATCGCTGTGTCACAAGACTCCCACTTGTATTTCAAACAGCTTGCTAAACCTCTCCAGCTTGGGCCTTCAGCCAGGTTTTTCATTTTGCACAAATCATCATTTTCAAACTTGGGTTACTTGGCAGGCATGTACTGTAGCTGTGATGCTCAAAAGGAAACTTGCATCCAAGGCTTGGATGTCGGGTTTTTTTTTCCTGCGGTCTGCCTTCAGCTCTACAAAATGAATTAATCCAAGATGGGAAAAGAAAAAAAAAATCTTGCAGATGAATTATGGTAAGCTTCAGGCATTCCCCGAAACTCCCAGCCTTCTTTGTTTTTAAGAGCAAGACTGCTGCTGTAACCTTGAAACAGTGCAGGAAGGTCCCATGGGTGAAATTCTGCAGCTAACAGGAAACAAGAACAGGAAGAACAGTAAATACCTATCACATCCTTCTGTGTAAATCGGGACCCCAGATGACAGGATTGTGGAAATCCTATTATTCTTAAATAAATGATGGAAAACTACTAACAATTAGCCTGACCCCCAGCTTGTTAGTTTTATTGCTTTTTTACCAAAACGCCCTTTTCCTTAGTGGACACCTCCCAGGGTCTCTTAAAGGGCTAAATTAGCAGTTTACTTTAAATGTAATATAAATGTTTAACACACAAAACTGATAATACGCAATTACAATTCATTAACATTGTTTGGATTATTGTGTTCTCTACTGTACACAAAGCAAAACATAAGTCACATGGTTCTTTTACCTAACAGTGCTTGTTCAAGCTAAACAGACTGATTTCTCAGTGATCAGTGCCAGGACATGTACAGGGAAGATGAAAGAATGCGATGCATATCTAAAAGGTCTATTAAAACTTTTTTAAAACTACTTTTAATCTTTTTTTATCGGCAAATCTGCTATTTCCACATGATTCCAGGTATTTGGCATACAGAGGACTTTTCAGAAGTTATATTTTGTTCACCTGATTATAAATTATAGAACACAGTACAAGGTGAATTTTATGAAAGATAATCACAGAGAACTGTATAGATCATATATAATAAGATACCACATAAGAACTAAAGTGATAGGAAAGTGCAGACAACATAATTGATGCCTTTAAGATACTCTGGAATCTGGAACTAAAACCATAGGCAGAATCGTCTCTCTGTTATTATGTTTAATTCTCTCGGAAAAGAAACTGGTAATGAACCATCATTTCTCTTGTTAAGCAACCACACTGGAATGCAACATGAATGTGTCTTACCTTTTTGTCTTTCTTGTCAACCTGGCATAGCCCAAACTAAGAAACCTGCATGAATTAAGGAGTCTTTGTGCGGGGTGATCACATCTAACTAATGAACAGCAAGCATGATAGACACATCTGATAGCAGCGAAGAGACACAGAAGCTCCTCCACGTACTTCTAAGAATGCATTATTTAGCAAAGCCCCAAAGAATCCGTGTAACTTTCAGCTGTATCCCGTGACTGCCCAGAGTACTCATCTTACACTATTTAATACTCGTATGTTCTACTGTGAGTGCAGGTTTTTTTATCCGTGTAAATTCTACAGTGAGAAAGATAACATATTGACCAAGGTTATTCAAGATGCTGAGTGCACAATTCTGAATGAACTAAATTGGAAGCATTATTAACTCCACCACAGCAACAAGATTCCCTATTCCTGCCTGTTTATTAAACAGTTGTTGCCCTTTTCCTGCTACTGAAACGAAAATACACTATTTTGTGTTAGTTTAAACTACTGTGCATACAGTGTATGCAACACACAAAACACATTCATCTGCATATACAGTATATGTCATCCTTACATTTTTGCTTAATAACTTACATAATAAAGTTTAACTGCAGCAATCTTATGATGGTGTTCTAATAATTTTTATTAACTGCTCCATTTAAAAGCATTTGACAGTAATGTCCTTAAGATTTTCATCAACATGAAACACATTTTCCCTTACTTACAAAAAACATAGTAAATCTCCAACCAGACAAAAATGTTTTAATATCATTTTTTTGTTTTGTTTTTTCAAATGGCAACCAGGTCATTGTGGTAGAAGATTTACAGATAAATATCATTCAGTAAAAAACCCATTATAAATACAACTAAAAACCTTAAAATTGTAATATTGCAGGACAATTATTCAGATTTTGGTTACATAAAAATAATTGCTATGCTTTAAAAATGCAAATTTAAAATGTTTTCTCAGAAATATACTGTATTATGTTACCCTACCGCTAACACCTTAAGATAATGAGCATCAGGGCTTCCTATAGAGTAGAAAGTAAAATATCTTGAAGGATTTTGCTCCATGCAGCATAGATGTTAAACCTCTCCTTTCTGTTTTGAAGGACAAATTCAGTGAAAGAGCTTCCTGTTTCTGTAGTACAGGAGGGCACTCTGAGTTCAATGCACTCTCACGGGGTATGGGGTTAAACTTTAAAAAAAACAGCTTTAGGGCATCATGAACTTTTATATGTCATTATTTACCCAAGCAAAATTCCACAGAGTCCAAATCTTTTCAACAGGCAACCTGCCAAAACCGCAACTCATAAAACACATTGGGAAATAATTAGTAAAGCAAATGAGCAGCAAGAAAAGGCAAATGTCAGTTTCATTAATTAGCTAAAAACACATACAGAAATGTGCTGTATTGTTGTATTCACAATTGTATTTTTATAAAGGTTGTTTTGGAGAATGTGTTTTATGGTTTACAATGTACACTATAAAGCAGTCACCATTCAATTAATCTTTATCATAAAAGAAGCACTGTGCACGCTAATGTCCAAAAGAGGCTAAATAAACACTGATTTCATTAACATTTATTTAGAGAATCTAGAAAAGCTTTGAGCTCAAAGGCATTTTCTCTCTGTGTTGTCAAATGTTAGTGGTGGTTTCTGTGAAAATCTATCACCAATTAATCATGTCCCAGCATCACACAGCATACAAACAAAGCTGTCATAATTATATGATGCTCCCTAATGCATCACAAGCTTGACTTGATATCATAAGGCACATCCAGATGGGAAGTGCTGAAATGCCAAAACAAAATCATGCTGCATACAGAAAGAGCAATGAAATAAAATACAAGGGGCAGCATCTAGTCCTGTGAACAAGGCTAATGTAATATTTCTAAAAAGAATAAAACCTTTAAAAGGCATCAATCCTGTAAGACTCCATCAAGAGCCTGGTTGGAATACTTTTGTTCAAATTGTATTGCTGTTTCTTTCTGAAAATTTGCCTTTTTATTCAGTGTCATTTAACAGCTCCTGAGGAGCATAAATATCATGTTCTCATATTTTTGTCTTGAGGTATTTCTTCCTTAGTCACAGAACAAAAAGATTAAATGCAAAGGAAATTTATTCTGGCACTTCTTGTTCTGAAAGAAAGCCCATTTTCATTGTTAGAAAAACAGCATGCTTATTTAAATTTTCTTTGTATTTGTTTTTACTGACTGTGAAAAACATAAATGTAATGGACGACACTCTCAAATCAATGGAATTCATATTACACAATTTAAAAATTGAGGGGACTATAAAATATTGCTTGTAGATGTTTGCATTTAGATCCTGGTCACAAGCTGTATTGATATCGACTGCTTATCAGTTCACAACAGGGAGATATTTCCTTGGAGAAACAGAGCACTCAGCAGACTAGAAGCACTCTCCAAAATGAATGCAACAGCAGACATGAACCACCTGGAGACATTATTTTATTTCTGGGATTCATAAACTTACATAAGTACTTGCCCTTTTCCATAAATCAGCACCAGGCCTCTATGAGATTAAACTATGTCTAGATAGAATCATCACCATTTATACTACCATTACACTGGGTATTTCAGTAATGCCATAATTTTGAATTAACTCAAGGTTTGTACAGTATTTGTAACAGGATTTTAAAAAATAGTTTATTATGCTGCCTTTAATGTTGTTCATTAATTTATTACTGCCATGAATCAAGAATGATTAACATTGTGCCCATAAATCTAAAGATACTTTAATGACCTGACAGCGTGATTATTAAACATTCCATGGCATTCTTTGTAAGAACACAGTAGTGGTCCTAAATCCAATTCCTGGTTAATAATCGCACTCTGGGCTTGCACAATCTGTCTTACTGTACAGTACCTAAACCACCCCTTATAATTGAACTGGTAAGGTACTATCTAACTTCTCCACCTGAGCCGGATGTACAGTAATGGACCCTTGCTATCAGTTAAGTACTTTTGGGTCTTTTGGGATGAAAAGCACTAAAAGGCAAGGATTTATAATAGTATGGCTCTTAAAGTGGTGTGCTGTAATTTATTGTTTTCAAACATTTCAAATCAACTGTAATTTTTAAGGACAATACTGAGAATAACAATCCATGCATTTGTCTGACACCAATGAATCTGCTGTTGTAAGTAAAAGTTTGGCTGATTACACACACTCACTTTTCCAGATTTTTTTCCGAAGTCCTTTTTTCTTTAATCTTTTTTCTACAAATGATCTTTAAGTACTTGGACTGACATATAAATTACAGGGGCTTTCTAAGGCAATTGTACAGGAACATGATTGGTGAGTGTATGTGGGGACTCAAATTTGAACACGGTGTATGTACTTATAAGTGCACTACATTATTTATCATTCACACTTGTAGCACTAGAATCCTATTTGGGTGAAATATTATTTACTTTTTCAAAATAATGTAAGGCATTTTATTCTGTAGATAAATGCTTGTTTCAAAACTGTATTGCTAAATTATACACAAAACCATACTCACATAGATCATGACAGAACTGTGTGATCTCTACTCTACTTTACATACAGTTCAGACACCTTATGAAAATTAATCCTTTTTATGTTAAAAATAAGTATTAACCACCAATGAATACAACAACAGCAGCAGCAAGCACAGCAACAATGCAGCAGGAAAGTACAGGATTTATTGCCAATGATAAATAACCCATAGAGGAATGCATCTGTAAATGATATATCTAACTGCTTTTACATAAATTAGAACAAATATCCTATCAATTGCATACTGCATGACATACTGTTACCACCATTTAGCTTGATATTATTAGACTTGAAAATATAAGAAAATATTTGAAAAGATAAGATGTTCATGAATTAATGAAAACTACGCTCCAGCTGTAAGAGGTACTGCTTGATCATTGAGTGGCACTCTTCCCTCTAGACCAGAATTTCCAAAATCAGTGTATGGTGATTTAGGATACTGCAGTAAGAGATGCAATATTTAAAATGATGCCGTATGATAAGTTAAATGGAAATCTGATGACATGGACATTAAAGTTTCCACAGTTCTTTTCATAAGAATAGAAGATCTAACTCCTGGGTCCTGGTTAAATTGCATTCTGGACCTGTATAACCTGGCCTGTCTACAGTAGTGTTGCCCTTTACAGTAATTGGTGCGGTAGTTTCTCACTTACTGTATCTACCTGATCTGATCTTTATTGTGGGTCTACTGGTGTGTAATGACTACCACACATCACCAATGTGACAGCTAAGCTCTTTTATGCAAAGTGCTGGGGGATCCTTTCAGATGTAATACATGGAATTATGATTATCAATACTATTACAATTATTAACACTACTACACCTTTCATATGTACTCCTGTACTGAAATCCTTACAGTTGCCTGTTTGAGCAAAGCAAAGGTTTAATGAAGCTGGCTTCCCATCTACAGTAGCTGCTACTTAGAAGACTTTTCCCTGTGGCTCTCAAATAACATCTTTGTGAATCAGTATTTAGTGTATTGGGGCTCAGATTCATGATTAGAAGTATGCTAATAAGAAGAAAGTTTAAATCAATCTTGCTATCTTTTTTCAAACATCTCCAAATTAATATATAGTATTTTAAACACAAGATGAAAGCCAAGGATGGACATTGTTATAGTCAGCAGCCATATCACCCTGCAACTGACAACTAGCAACCCACTGAAGCTCAGCAGGTGTGAGCCTGGCCAGTACATGGATGGAAGACCTCCTGAGGAAAAAAAAAGGCTGTTGCTTCAAGAGGTGTTAGTGGGGCCATTAGGGGGTGCACACCCTGCGGTCTATGTGGAGCCTAATGCCCCAGTATAGTGACGGGGACACTGTACTGTAAAAAGGTGCCGTCCTTCGGATGAGACATAAAACCAAGGTCCTGACTCTCTGTGGTCAAAATCCCAGGGTGTTTCTCGAAAGGATTAGGAGTGTAACCCTGGAGTCCTGGCCAAATTTCCCATTGGCCCTTACCAATCCAGGTGAGGCTGCACATTAGTGGTGGTGGGGGAGAGTCCCCCATTACCTGTAAAGTGCTTTGAGTGGACTGTCCAGAAAAGTGCTACTGTGTATCAAGCATCAAGGAATTATATTATTATTATTAATATTATAAAAC